TCGAGTACTTTAAACATTACAACAAAACTATATGCTAGGTATCATTATCCTCACTTTATAATGAGAAAACTAAGGTTCAGAGAGGTTAAATCACTTTATCGAGGTCATTTTGTTGGTACAAGGCAGAGATAAAACTCAAATCCAAAGTATATAATCACTTGGGAAGCTAAAATACATTTGAACATTTGGAAAATAACACATCAGCAATCCAGCTTATACTTTATCTGAGAAGTACCATTTATGTTATCTTCTAGTTCTTACCTGTCAGCTTGGTGAAAGCTTCCATGTCATCAATTGATGTGGAAATGCGATACTTTTTTCCTTCAGCACCTGTAATCTCTATGTAGGGGTCTGCTTTGAGCAAAGCATCTGTAATCCTAAAGATTTTGTAAAAATTTATGCTTATGAGAAATTTTGAATATTTGCTTTATGCCTTAAAGAACTCTTTCTACTTTAGGGAAATAAAATCTTGATGTATGACATTTTACAAATAACTCCTTCTTGATCATACTAAATAGGGGCAGGGAGCTACCATGCTTACTGCATTCAAGACACTATCAGCTGGGTGAGGTGGCTCACACCTGTAACCCTAGCATTCTGGGAAGCTGAGGCGGGACGATTGCTTGAGCCCAGGAGTTTGAGATTGCAGTGAGCTATCATGATGCCACTGCACTCTACCTGGGAGACAGAGCAAGATTCTGTCTCAAAACAAACAAACCCAGACACTATGGCAGGACTTTAGAAATATTATCTTATTTAATCTTTCCAACAATAAGGTAGGTATCAATCAGCCCCAATTTTATAGATGCAGAAGTTAAGTAATTTTTATTTAAGCAACTCAGAAAGAAGCTTTGAATCTAGATCCAAATTTAAAACAAAAACCAAAAACCCAAAAAACAAAAAAAAAACTCTTACCAAATTATCAATCATACAAATAGGAGAATGTATTCTAACTAGTCTATTCATGACAAAGGATAGGTACAAACAGAAATGAAGATAAATTTCCTCAACACAAATGTAAAAATAAACATGAAAGGTTTACAATAAATCAATTTAAAGCATTTTAGAGACATGAAATTAACTTGACCCATACCCAATTTTTTTTTTGAGACAAGAGTCTCACTCTTTTGCCTGGGCTAGAGTGCGTGTCGTGGCGTGAGCCTAGCTCACGGCAACCTCACACTCCTGGGCTCAAGCAATCCTTCTGCCTCAGCGTCCCAAGTAGCTGGGATTACAGGCATGTGCCACCATGCCCGGCTAATTTTTTTTCTATATATTTTTAGTTGTCCGATTAATTTCTTTGTATTTTTAGTAGAGAGGGGGTCTCGCTCTTGCTCAGGCTGCTTTTGAACTCCTGAGCTCAAACAATCTGCCCTCCTCAGCCTCCCAGAGTGCTAGGATTTCAGGTGTGAGCCACTGCGCCCGGCCCCATACCCAATTTTTGATAACTCTTCATGGGGCCTGTGAGTCACCTAGAGCTTTGGCTGTGCATACTTTTCTGCAGTGGTTTTGACTGGACTGGGAAGACATAAAATTCCTGTGGGTTTCACAATCTGGCACTAATTTTGATAAATCTTTGACGGGGTAAGGACAGACATTAATCTCACTTCTTAAAGTTAATTTTTGTCATTAATCTCAGAATGTCAATTATTCATGTCCCACTTCCCATTACCTTGATGACTCATGTCTGGTATGTAAGTGACTCCCTGTGCAGAGGCCCTGAGCTATCCCAGCATTGCCTCTTCATGTCTAGCATAAACCACCTCTTCGTCCCTTCATCTACCCCTCTATTCACCTCCCTCTTCTCCCTCCAACTAAATTAAGTTCACTTTATGCTAGATTTTGTTTTTGTTTAAGGAAACCATTTTAGATATATTCACTTAAAATTCACTTGAATTTGTCTAGAAATCTTAAATTGACTCTAGTAGGATATTCCAGCAAAGTATCATGGAAAATTTTATAGGGAAATAACAATCAAATTTCTTACATTTTATCAATGATGTTGCCAACTTTGTGCTGATAAGCTCTACGGTGTAAACAGTTGCGAGTGTGGAACATGTCATACAGATTTCCAACTTCCTACAGGAAAACATGAAATAAATATTAAGGCAGGATCAAATTATGTTAACCTTATTAATAGGTAAGTACATAAGAGAAGGAAAAGGGATGGTGACAGACAAGAAGGCTATGCACAGGGACTATTTCATTAAAAGCCCTAGCCTATTAAAAAATGGGGAAGCAGAATTAGTAAAGCTACTTATTGGTTTGCAACTTTCAGTTTTTCAGTATACTAAAATCTACTGCATCTTCTAACTATGACAGGTTCTCTTTTAGGCATCTTAAAAGTATCTTTTAATCCTCCGAATAACTCTAGGAAACAGGTGTAATTCTTGTGTTCTTTGTTCTTGACAGAAAGACTTTCTATGGTACAGTACTACACTAGTGTTTGGTTACATGACTGCCATCTAGCAGGGACCTGATGATTTCAGTAGTTGACCCTTGAACAACAGGGGTTTGAACTTTGTCAGTTCACTTGTATGTGGATTTTCTTTTGTTTCTGCCACTTCAGAGACAACAAGACCAACCCCTCCTCTTCCTCAGTCTACTCAATGTGAAGATGACAAAGATGAAGATCTTTATGATGATCCCATTCCACTTAACGAACAGTAAATGTATTTTCTCTTCCTTACGATAAACTTAACATTTTCTCTAGCTTACTTTACTGTAAGAATATAGTACATAATACATGTAACATACAAAATGTATGTTAATTAACTATTTAAGTTATTGGTAAGGCTTCTGGTCAACAGTAGGCCATTAGTAATTAAGTTTTTTGGGGAGTCGAAAGTTATACCCAGATTCGACTGTGTGGGAGGGTCAGCACCCCTAACCACCACATTGTTC